CAACATTCCAAAATTAAAGGATGCAGTGAAAACACTACTGATATGGATATTTATAGAGAAAATGCTTACATTAAAAAATAATAAAGTTCTCAAATCAATAACCCATCTTTTTACCTCGAGGAACTCTAAAACATAAAAAGAAACTATAGATGATTCTCAATTTATGACAGTTTGTCTAACGATTTTTCTACTTCACAATGATGCAAAAGTGACACATATTTAATAGAAACTGTACTTTGATTTTTGAATGTGGATCTTTTTCCAAGCTAGCTCTAGGGAATACATACTCCCCTGTGATGCTAGGCAGTGGCAGTGAGCAATGGCTTCCAGTCGGCCATGTTATCACAAGGGTAAATAATTTATACATATATATAGCCATTCTGTACCTATACAGTCTTTCTGTTTTACCCTTTTAGTACAAGATTTAATAAATTACATGAGATATTAGACACTTTATTATAAAATAGGCTTTGTGTTTGATGATTTCGCCCATCTGAGATGTTTAAGGTAGGCTAGGGTAAGCTCTGACGTTTGGTAGGTTAGGTGTAGTAGATGCATTTTTTACTTACATTTTCAACTTACAATAGGTTTATCATGCCATAGCTCCACAGTAAGTTGAAGAAGATCTGAAACCAAAACTTAACAGAGGAAGGAAATAATAAAGAACATAACAGAAAAATGAAAGAACAGAAAAACAATTTTTAAAATCAATGAAAACAAGAGTTGTTTTTCTGAAAAGATTAACAACTTTAAAAAAATTCTTAGCTAGACTAATAAAAAAGGAACAGATAAATAAAACAGAAATAGGGGCACCTGGGTGGCTCTGTCAGTTAAACACCTGCCTTCAGCACATGTCATGATTCCGGGGTCCTGGGATGAAACCCCACATCAGGCTCCCCTGTCAGCAGGAAGCCTGCTTCCCCCCATCCCTCTGCCTGCCACTGTCCCACTGTTTGTGCTCTCTCCCTCTCTGTCAGATAAATAAAATCTTAAAAAAAAAAAAAAGAGAAAGAAAGAAAAGGAATGAAGAGAGGACATTTCAATTAATGTCATAGAAATAAGAAGAATTATAAGACTACTAAGAATAATCATATGCCAACAAATTGGATACCTATAAGAAGGAAAAGAAAAACTACTACCAAGACTAAATGCATATCAAAACTAAATCACAAAGAAATTTTTAAAATGTGACCAGACAAATAAAGAGGAAGGATATTGGATCAGTAATCAAAAACATCTCAATACAGAAAAGCTCAGGACCAAATGAATTCACTGGAGAATTCAACCAAACATTTAAAGAAAAATTAACACTAATCTCCCTCAAGCTCTTACTAAGAATTGTATAGGAGAAAACACTTCCAAACTCATTCTATGATGTCAGCATTATCCTGATACCAAAACCAGATAAAGACACTACAAGAAAAATAGAAATCAATTATCATTGGTGATGACTAATGCAAAAATCATTTATAAAATAATAGCAAAATGAATTCAAAAAGTTCATTAAAGGGATCATACATTATGACCAAGTGGGATTTATCCCTGGAACATAAGAATGGTTTAACGTATTAAAAAATCAATCAATGTAGTTCCACACATTAATAAATGAATGACAACAAAACCCCACATGATCATTTCAATTGATGCCCAAAAAAGTAACAAAAATTCAGCACTTTATATCATAAAAACACCCAACAAACTAATAGAAGTACCTCAACATAATAAAAGCCATACATGATCACAGACAATATCACACTCAACAATGAAAGACTGTCTTCTTTTTTTCTAAGCACAGGAAAAAAGACAACCATGTCCACCCTCACCACACTATTCGGCATAGTACTATAGATTCTAACTACAGGATTTAGAGAACAAAAAGAAAAAAAGGTATTGAAATGAGAAATAAGTAAAATTATGTCTGTTAACCAATGATTTCATATGCAGAAAACCCTGCAGATTCCACCAAAAAAAATTGTTTGAGCTAGGAAACAATTTCAGCAGTTATAAAATCAACACACAAAAATCAATTGTTTCTGTACACAAACATGATCAATCACAAAAGGGAATTAAGAAAATGCTCCCTTTTACTATCGTATCAAAAAGGATAAAATACTTAAGAATAGACTTAGCCAATGAGATGAAAGTCTTGCACACTGAAAGCTGAAGGCATTGGTAAAAGAAATCAAATAATATACAGACAAATGGAAAGACATCTCATGCTCATTAACTAGAAGACTTTGTAGTGTTAAAATAATGTTAAAATGCCCATACTACCAGATGAAGCTATCTACAGATTCACTGCAATCTTTATTAGAATCCCAATGGCATATTTTTCAGAAATAGAAAAAAATAGCCTAAAAGAAAAATGTTACTGTGCCTCATTTCCCAATTTTGAAACATACTACAAAGCAATAGTAATGAAAACTATATGGTATTAGCATAAAGACAGATATATGGAACAATGGAATAGAATAGAGCATCCAGAAATAAAGCCCTGAGTATATATGGCCAGATGTTTTTCAACACTGGTGCCAGCATACACAGTGGAAAATGATCAATGTCTTCAACAAATGGCACTGGAAAATCTACATCTACCTACATGTCAAAGAATGAAGTTGGACTCTTACTTTAAATCATATACAAAAGTTAACTCAAAATTGGCATAAATGTAAGACCTAAAATTATGAAACTCCTGGAAAAAAGCATAGGAAAAAACCTTCAGTACATTGGATTCGGCAATCACTTGTTGGATACGACACCAAAAACACAGGCAACAAAAGTACAAATAAACAAATGGGATTACATTAAACTTAACTTTTCTGCATCAAAGAAAACAATCAACAGAGTGAAAAGGCAGCTTACAGAATGGGAGAAAGCATTTACAAACCACATATCTGATAAGAAGTTAATATGTAGAATATACAAAAGAAATCCTATAGCTTAACAACAACAAAAAACTTTAAAATCTTTATTAATAGAAATATTAATAATGAAAAACAGTACAGCAGTTCCTCAAAAAATTAAACATAGAATTAACATATGTTCTAACAATCCAGCTTCTGGGTATACATCCCAAAAATTCAAAGCAAGATCACAAAGAGATATTTGCACATTCATGTTCCTTGGAGCATTATTCGCAATAGCCTGAAGGTAGAAGAAACCCAAAGGCCCGTTAATAGAAGACTGGGTAAAGAAAATGCAATGGGTATATTCACATGCAATGGGATAGTCACAGACTTAAAAAGGAAGATAATCCTGTTGTGTGCTACAGTATGGATGAAACCTGAGGACATTATGCAAAGCAAAATAAGCCAGTCACAAAAGTTCAAATTCTGTATAATTCCACTCATATGTATTATCTAAAGTAGTCAGAATCATAGAAACAGAAAGTAGAAAGGTATTTGCCAAGGGTGGGGCAGGGGATGCAGGGGGGAGGGGAAATTAGTGTTCAATGGACATAGAATGTTGGTTTTCAGGATGAAAAGATTCTAGAGATCTGTTGAACAACAATGTGAATTGTTAAATACTTAACACTACTGAACTATACATTTAGAAATGGTCAGTATGGAAAATTTAATACTAAATGCTTTTTACCACAATAAAAAAAAGAATGAAGGAAATTGAGATTCAATGCTAGATCTCTCTGACTTCAAATTATGTACTTATAACTGCTAAATTTAGCTTACTATGAAACAAAAATTTAATGTATAATGTTTTCTTTTCCCTTCACTGACTTATTTTTGTTGATTATGCTTAAAATTCTGTTTTCCTATTTCTAATTGCTTTGTAAATTTACAGGAATATGATTTTAGAATATGTATTGGCATTGTACTAAGTCAGCGTAACCATGTGTATAAAAAACAAAAAACAAAAAAACCTTCCCACTCTTTAGTGAGTCAATGGACTTCAATTTTTGTAACCTCTGCTAATACTTAGCTCAGCTTCCCTGCCTCATACCCACCTCTTCTGGAGTCAACAGACACCCTATGGAATGAAATATTTTTATAACATATCTTAAAATTTTAATATCTGAAAGTTTCCTATATCTAAATCTATTACTTTATTTATTTATTTTTTTGCAAACCATTGTTTATGGTAGCTAATTTTCTTTTGAATTTTGAAGTCATATATGGCTGGAAATAATCTGTGGGAATACCTGCTTGAAGTGCATTCCTACAGAGAGAAATATTCTTTGCCTTCAACAGGTGCCCTTGGATCTTACCAACCAGGCATAAATGTAGCCTCATAGTTCAGAATCTCCTAACTACTCATGTTGTACAAATTAAAAACCTAAACCCATACAAGATCAGAAATATAATCATGAATCCTCAATATGAAAATTTTATTCGTTTTTCTGTTATTTCATTTATCTAAAATCGAGAACAAAACAGATAACTTGTTTTATCCCTTCACTTAAAAGTAGCATATTTGTTTTGTAGACTATTCTTTCAATGAGGCTGAAGCATTTAAACATTATATGTGGGGCCTGAGGGTTTCACTGAGGATGTAGTTCTTTTTTTTTTTTTTTAAAGATTTTATTTATTTATTTGACAGACAGATCACAAGCAGGCAGAGAGAGAGGCAGGCAGAGAGGGGGAAGCAGTCTCCCCGCTGAGCAGAGAGCCCGATGTGGGGCTCGATCCCAGAACTCTGGGATCGTGACCTGAGCTGAAGGCAGAGGCTTAACCCACTGAGCCACCCAGGTGCCCCAGATGTAGTTCTTTTGAAAAAAAGAAAAATAGACTGACAAGCTTTAAAAATATAAAAAATGCTTTACAAAGACATGTAGAGAAACTCATATAAAATAAATGTTTTATATAAATTCATATATAAAATAAATGTTCACTTGGCTTATGAACAATTTTTAAGAAGTTATTAACTGTAAAAACAAAATAAATATTTATCAAAAATGGTTTTAAAATTTTTATTACATCATTGAAATCAAGTTAAATACAAAGGTTAAATCACTTTAAAATAGCAATACATAAAAAAGGACCTACCAGAATTTTATCCACAACAATATATATTTCAAGATATTGAGGATGTAACTTGAAAAATTCAGTTCTCTGGAAAACACACAACATGAGTCCTGAGGAATTTCCAAAAATTTACCTTCTATTGAAATTATATTCAGAAACTGAGAGATGTGGTGCTACTGACTACATAATAAAGCGGCATCCAAATACAAAATTTAGGTACTATTCAGAAAATTCCAGTCCAAAAAGTTCCTGTGGTTAATAAAGGTGTTCAATGAGATCCCAAGTTATATAAGAATCCAGGTATCTGTTGATTTTAGCAATAGTTGCAATTGGAAATTTTAAGATTACAACATAAATCTTTTCTTTCTTCCCTTGTGATAGTTTTCATAGTAGTCTTCCATGTGGACAGATTTTCTGCTACCAATTATTAGGAAACTACTTCTGGCAAACAATAAAGTTAAGAAAAATATTACTGAAGTTTACAACCAATGGCAGTTCACTGGAGCCAAGAATGCTATTTATGACATTAAAGCAGTTTACTAGCCTTTGTGGAAGAAGAATTCATCATATTGCTTTACATGTACTTTATATAGGCCACTAATAGTATTTCTGAACTCTCTTAAAACAAAGACTTAACTTAGAAATGCAGATTATGTGATATTTTCACCTAATTTATCAGCCTAATTGAGGAAAAGGAGTAATTTACATTAGCTATTCAAATGTCCACATGCGAAAATTAATTTTTTGGTTTCTGGAATCCTATATTCACATGTGTCCAAGATTGATTACCTAAGTCTTTACTAAACTTTAATCTAATGACAAGCTTAATGGGGAACTTAATTTTATTCTTTACCTATTTTAAAAGTCAAGCAAGGTCCTCATGAAAAAGGAAAACAATCTTAAATCTGCAGGTCATCAAATTTTGCTCTGAAAGTAGTTTTCATTTCATGAAATTATAAGGAATAAGTTAAATTTAAGTCAACACTTACTTCTGAACTTTTCCTGATATGATAATATATGTTATTATAGCTGTAAGTCTTAGTTTCTCCTAAGAGAGGTACAACAATGTCATATTTTTCTTCATAAATCATGTGCACAAATCCTGATACAGCCTCCATTGGTTCAATTCCGTATGAGATGTTTTTAAGCTGTAATGTTCCCCTGAGTATTAAAAAAATCAAAACAAATCTGAAATTATTCTACCAAAACTATAATATTCTAAGGAGTAATTTTGGCAAAAAAAGAAAAAAAAATTCTTTCTTACATTTAAAGTCACCTTGGTTTCTCTAGTTTATTCATTGAGGTGTTAAACTCAAGACTGAACCAGTAATACCACAGGATGCATACTGCCTTATATTACAAATATTCTAAGAGAAATATTTTTATTGTCTTAAAGAAAGCATATAAGTGGCATGGATCCATGTGATTAAACAGGTTAGGAACCCTTCCTAGAGTACAGATTTTCTAAGCCAGCTTGTCAGATCTTTAGGCACTCTCTTCCTTAGTGTTAGGTCCTTTCTTCTTTTTGAGATAACTACTCTTCCCTGAGACTTAATGTCACACATCATTTTTTGTGTGGACTTAAATGAAGATATTATCTGCCTAAAAATGACTGGAAGCAGAGCTAAAATACCTATCAGATCTAGGCATTCTACAATTTTCAACCATGCTAGGAAATTAAGAAATCAATAAAATTTTAAAAATCTAGAAAAACTAAAGTATGGAGAGACCAACAAACACCCTTTACACTCAAGGCCACTCAAAGCCTCAAGCAACAGATCCTGTTAGAATCAACAAGTACATAAACAATGAATCGTGAAACACTGCATCAAAAACTCATGATGTGGGGCACCTGGGTGGCTCAGTGGGTTAAGCCTCTGCCTTCAGCTCAGGTCATGAACTCAGAGTCCTGGGATCGAGCCCCACATTGGGCTCTCTGCTTGGCAGGGTGCCTACTTCCCCCTCTCTTTTTGCCTGCCTCTCTGCCTACTTGTGATCTCTCTCTCCTTCTGTCAAATAAATATATAAAATCTTAAAAACAAAACAAAACAAACAAACAAACAAAAAAACCCCACCTCATCATGTATATTATGGTGACTAACATAAAAAAATAAAAATTAAAAAAAAAAAAAAAAAGAATCAACAAGTAGTCTTCCAACAGGGACAAATGCTGCCAAGGTGACCCATATTTTATTTTGCCAGTAATTCTGAGTCACTCCTTAGGGAACTGAGATAACAAAGTTGAATATAGAACTAGAAAAGATAAACGGAGGATCAACTCAGGTTAACAGGATCAATACTGGCAAATGGAATATCTTTAAATAGGTTACAACCTGAGTCCTGAACAAGTATGGAGTGACACAAGAGAATGTGGAAAACCTGCAACATATCCATGATAACTGCAATCCACCTGAAAAAAAATATACAAGAATAAATGGATAATTTATTTTTAAAATGGACATCCCACCTGTATCCTTTGTATTTATTACTTTATCTACCCTAGTACTTCAACATGCATAGGCAATTAGCCAATGAAATTTTGCCAGGTAGGAATAAGAATTAGTCCAAGTTATTCAATTTCAGTGAATGTGTAAAATAATATTCTAGAAATTTCAGAATATTTACATCTTTAAAGATAATCCAGAGTAAGAAGTCTGTAAGAAAAAGCTCAGCCTTACCTGCGCTAACAAAGGCTGAGAATGTTGGATGTCATCGTTGTCATAAAAGTAAACAATAGAAACTGAAGATAAAAATAATCTAGACAAAAAATCACAAAACATGCTCAAGTTGTGAAACAGAAAACACAGAAAAAATTATTCTTCATAATACAAATTTTTCTTTCACTGAGGAATTGTAGTGCCAATTACCTTTACATAGTCAATCGTCCAAATACTTCTCTGTCCTTTACAATAAACTAGGTGCTGAAGAAAGTATTTTAATTATAGTAACATACAATACTAAAATACATGTCAATGAACAACCAAAACAGCTAGAAATAGTAAATAGTAAAATAATATAGGTCCCAAGTTCCAGCATAGAATTTAAAAATTTTAGTGTTTAAAAATATTGTGTTAAATCTGATTCCAGATCTTAAACCTAAATCTTAAAGGGTTAGAACAAAATTTTAAAATATTTTCTTAAGGAGGAGGGGAAAGATGGCAGAGAAGTAAGAGACCCTGTTTCAACCGGTCCCCTAAAGTGAGCTAAATATCTACCAGAACACTCTGAACACCCATGAAATCGGCCTGAGATGTAAGATTACACACTTCTGGATCTCTACAGGGGCAGAAGACAGCAGTGAAGAGGTAAAGCAGAGTGGGAATGCTTGGACTGATATTGGAGGATAAACAGAAGAGGAGGGAGCCATCAGAAGGGACACATTAGAAAGTAAAATCCCAATATGAAAGTACCCTGTGATTGGGGACAAACAATAACTTGGAGTCTGGTTAAAAGCACTCAAAAAGAGCAAAAGATCTTAAGAGGCAACTGGTGGAATCTGGCGGTCAAGGGCATGGGCCCAGGACGGTCACCTCCGGTGACCACCCATGCCAGAGAGAGTCTGGTGGGGCCACCAATCTGTGGCCCTTGAGCCCATGGCTTTCTGCTGCTTGCACTACCACTCAGGTTGGGCACACTCCCACCTGAGACAGCCTGGTGTGGGCACCAGGGGGCGGCCTCTGGGCCTACAGCCTTCCTCAACCTTCGTGACCGCGGGGTCTTAGCATACCCAGCCCGCACCTAAGAGAACCCAGTGCCAACTCAGGTTGGGGTCTCTCAGCCTGCAGCCTTTGGCGACCTGCACCTTGCCTGGCATGGACCGGAGATAGCATTCCCAGCAACAGCAGTAACTGGAATCAGGCTCATCCAGACCAATATTGCTCACAGTTTTAGTGGCACCAGGGTGCAGAGACAAGCAGGGGCCTTGGGCAACCACTGGGAGAGTGGCTGGGTGCGCACAACCAGTGGGAGATTGTGGTGTCTAGCACAGTTTGCAGAGAGGGAGTCTGTGTTTTCTGGACCATCCAGAGGGGAGCAGACTGAGGCCTCTCTCTGAGGCAGAGATCTGGGGGTGGACAGTTTGTTTTCCACTAAACCTCTGAAAAGCCAAAAAGTCACAAAAAGCCACCAAAGAAAAAAACCCTCCAGAGAACATAATCCTGAAAAGCAGTTTCCACAGAGCCCAGTCCCTTGATAGCAGGCAGGGTGACTCAAGCCAAGCAGTACTGACTGGAAAACAATGTGGCAGGCCCCTCCCCAAGAAAACTAGCCAAAGGAACAAGAAGACAATAACCACAGGGTCCCCATAAAATGGTTAACACCCAAACATCAGGGGAAAACAATAAATTAAGCTCCCAGTATTGTCCCAATGGCTGTATAATTCATAGATACAACTTTTCTTCTTTTTTTTATTAGTTCTCACACTTCTTTTAATTTTTTTTAACCTACTTACCATTACAACCAGAGGTTTAACACAACACATTGCATAATAACTTTTTAACTTGAACTTTTTTCATACATATATTGTGTTTTTCTTCCTTTTTTTAAATACACATAGACATAAGCTTCAAGGTAATCATTTTTCCCTATTCAATACTACCTCTATATATAGACCAGTTTTAATTTCCCTGTATCTATGGAAAGTTGAGTCCTTTAACAAAGATAACAATATTCATCCAGGAAGATCCAAAATAACCTTCCTCGCTCACATCAAGGGTTTATAACCACCTTCCCATCTTATTCTTCTGTGGGTGTTTCTCTGTATTAGTATTTGTTTTTGTACTATATAAATATTATCCTTGGGGTTCCTTTTGGCTGGATTTTTCTTCCTTTTTTTTTCTTGTCTTTTACTTTTGTCAGTCTTTTTAATTGTTCATTTTTGTTTATGTACCTTATAAATCTTACTTTTGGAGATCCTTTTGGCTGGGTTTCTCTTTTTTTTCTTCTATTTTTCTCTCTCTTTTTTCTTTCTTTTTGGTGATGACTTCCAATTACTCTGAAACTTTTCAGGGTGCACCTTGCCTAGATTGTGGTTGATATATTCAGCTAAACAACCCCTCAAACACCTCTCACCAAAATGACTAGAAGGAAGAACACCCAACACAGTAAATATTCAGAGACTGTGCCCTCTGCCACAAAACTACTGGATATGAACATAAACATATGTCACAAAGGGAATTCAGGGTAACAATTATCCAAGCAATGGCTAGGATGGAGAAGACCATTAGTGGCAACATAGAAACTCTAAGGGCAGAAATGAGATCCAATCGAATCTAAATACTCTAACAGCCAGCGTAACTGAGGCAGAAGATCAACTTAGTGATCTAGAAGACAAACTGAGAGAAGGAGGATCAGGAGGACACCTGGAATAAACAGCTTAAAAGCCATGAAAATAGAATTAGGGAAATAAATGACACCATGCAACATTCCAACATCAGAATTATTGGGATCCCTGAGCAGGTGGAGAAAGAGGGAAGACTAGAAGATATAGGTGAACAAATTCTGGATGAAAATTTCCCCAATTTGGGGAATGGAACAAGTGTTCATGTCCTAGAGGCAGAAAGGACACCCCCCAAGACCAATGAGTCTAGAAAGACATCCAGATACTTAATTGTTAAATTCATGAATCATAATTTTAGGCAAGAGGTCTTAAGGGCAACTAGGGGAAGAGATTCCTTACATACAGAGAAAGTCCCATTAGAATAACATCAGACCTGCCCACAGAAACCTGGCAAGCCAGAAAGGGCTGGCAATACATATTCAAGGCACTAAATGAGAAGAACATGCAGCCAAGAATACTTTATCCAGCAAGGCTGACATTCAGAATAGATGGAGACAGAGAGAGCTTCCAAAACAGGCAAGGTTTAAAAAAGTCTGTGACCACCAAGCTGGTACTACAAGAAATATTAAAGGGTTTTTTAATAAAAGAAGAAAGAACCCAAGAATGACATAGAACAGAAGTTTACAGAGACAATCTATAGAAACAAGGACTTCTCAGGCAACATGATCTCACTAAAAACTTATGTTTCAATAATCACTCTCAATGTGAACAGCCTAAATGCTCCCTAAAAAGGCACAGGGTTATAGACTGGATAAAATGACAGGACCTGTCCATATGCTTTCCACAAGAGACACATTTGGAACCTAAAGATACATCCAGACTGAAAGTGAAGGGATGGAGAAGCATCCTTCATGCAAATGGGCCTCAAAAGAAAGCTGGAGTAGCTATTCTCATATCAGATAAATTAGATTTTAAGCTAAAGACTGTAGTAAGAGATACCGAAGGACACTACATCATTCTTAAAGGGTCTATCCACCAAGAAGATCTAACAATTGTAAATATTTATGCCCCCAACATGAAAGCAGCCAACTACTAAGCCAACTGTTAATTAAAGAGTCATATTGATAGGAATACATTAATTGTAGGAGATCTTAACACACCACTCTCAGTAATAGATCATCTAAGCAGAAAATCAATAAAGAAACAAAAGCTTTGAATAACACATTGGACCAGAAGGAACTCATAGATATATATACAGAACATTTCACCCTAAAACAACAGAATACTCATTCTTCTCAAGCGCTCATGGAGCTTTCTCCAGAATAGACCACATACAGCGTAACAAATCAGGGCTCAGTTGATACCAAAAGACTGGGATTATTCCCTGCATATTCTCAGATCACGATGCTTTGAAACTGGAACTCAATCAGAAGAAAAAAGTTTGGAAGGAATACAAACACTTGGAAGCTAAAGACCGTCCTGCTCAAGAATGCTTGGTTCAACCAGGAAATCAAAGAAGAACTTAAACAATTCATGGAAACCAATGAGAATGAAGACACATCAGTCCAAAACCTATGTGATATAGCAAAAGCAGTCCTAAGGGGGAAATACATAGCCATCTAAGCCTCACTCAAAAAAAATTGAAAAATCCAGAATATACCAGCTCTCTTTACAGCTGAAAGAACTGGAAAATCAACAACAAATTAAGCCAGCCCCACACATTAGAAGAGAAATAATTAAGATTAGAGCAGAGATCAATGAGTTAGAAACTAGAGATATAGTACAACACATCAACAAAACTAGAGCTGGTTCTTTAAAAGAATCAATAAGATAGATAAACCACTGGCCATACTAATTCAAAAGAAAAGAGAGAGGACCCAAATTAATAAAATTATGAATGAAAGGGGAGAGATCATGACTAACACCAAGAAAATAGAAAGAATGATCAGAAATCATTATCAACAGTTATATGCCAATAAGTTAAACAACCTAAAAGAAATGAATGCATTCCTGGAAAACTCTAAATTTCCAAGACTGAAACAGGAAGAAGCTGGCAGCCTGAATAGACCAATATCTAGTAACGAGATTGAAGCAGTGATCAAAAACCTCCCAAAAAACAAGAGCCCAGGACCAGATGGATTCCCTAGGGAATTCAATCAAACACTCAAAGAATAAATAATACCTATTCTCCTGAAGCTCTTTCAAAAAAAGAAACAGAAGGAAAACTTCCAGACTCTTTCTATGAAGTTAGCATTACCTGGATCCCCAAACCAGGCAAAGACCTCATCAAAAAGGAGAATTTCTGACCAATATCCCTGACAAATATGGATACCAAGATTCTCAAGAAGATCCTAGCTAATAAGATCCAACAGTACATTAAAAAGATTATCCACCATGCACCCTGGATGCAAGGGCGGTTCAACATTTGCAAATCAATCAATGTGATAGAATCAATAAGAGAAGAGAGGATAACCACATG